CGATTTTTAAATTTGTAATTTTTTTGGATATTTCCCCCATTTGCGGGTAACGAGGGAATTTTTTTCAATTTTTAAGGGTAATTTCTCTAACTAGATACGATTTGTGATCTTTTTACGTACTTTTGAAAGAAATCGGTCCAGTGAGAGCTGAAGAAAAGTGGCAACAGACATAAAAAAAAAAAAATACGTCATAGTAAAATTAATACCTTCTCAGCTTCGCATCGAAGCTAATAATGCAAATAGTCTATTTAACATAGTATAAGAATACAAAAAATTAAAAAAAAAAACTTACAACGAAATCATTATTGAATCAAGTTATTAGTGTTATCAGTTATCTAATTGACTATATCGTTTTAAACGTTCGTTTGGTTTCAAAATTACATATAAACTATTTTTGTAAAATATTAGTAACTAAGGTTTAAATACTATAAATAGATAATCAGAGAACTTTTTATTTTAAGAGGCACAGGCTGTTTGAAATACAATGTTTTGTTTATCAATAGTGAAGTAAAAATCTGTGTTGTAACTGATTATTACAACAATGATGTTGTTAAAATCGGATTTATTTTGTATTTTAAATGACTAAAAATAAAATATTAGGCGTCTTTGTCATTGAATAAAAATTCATTTTCATTAAATTCAAAGTTATAACATTTTTAAGTTGAAAATTTAAAATCGAAAATTTTAACACAAAAATAGTGTTTTTTTAACTACGGCAGCCGTTTAAATGTAGAAGAAAAAGTGTCGGGACAAATTTTTTTTTTTCATTTTGTAGTACATAAAATAAGCTTTAATTTGATATATGTTTAAAGGACGCAGTCTTTCCGGAACATTTTCAAAAATTAAGTTGAAAAAATTAATTTTTGTAAAAAAGTTGCCATTTTAAATCCCCCCCAATGAGCAGGTTAAGTGATAGATTTTCAAAAAAATGATATCAAATGAAAGGTAAATATCTAAGGTTTTAGTATAAAAAAAAATTATGTTGATTTGTTGATTTTTCAAAAAGTTATGGATGTTTTAAGAAAAAAAAGTGAAAAAATTTCGAAAATTAGCGATTTTTAAATTTGTAATTTTTTTTGGATATTTTCCACATTTGCGGAGAACGAGGGAATTCTTTCAATTTTTAAGGGTAATGTCTTTAACTAGATTTGTGATCTTTTGATGTATTTTTGAAAGAAATCGGTCCAGTGAGAGCTGAGAAAAAGTGGCAACAGACATAAAAAAAAAAAAAAAAAAA